TTTCACTCTCCTCTTAGAATGGCTCAAATCCCTACTTCCTGCTGCAAGAGGTGTGACTTTGGCATTGTTTGTTAATTACTAAATATCTGAGCTGGGTTTCTCACCAATATGGAAAGAGTGATACTTGCTAGGGTTTTAATGAGATAATGTACCAAGTTCCAACCATAGAGTAAATGCTCCTAATATTATTATCCTTTCTTATTGCTACTCCCCTGTTTCTATCTGGCTTATATTTCCCTATTTCCATCTACATTTCTTTTGCTGTAAATTTTCTCAAATCCACTGCAGAAAGAAATGTTATATAATTTTTTTGAGTTCCATTACCCGCCTGATGGCGTAACAAGGGCTGAGGATAGAATAAAAAAGCTTCAGGCATCTACTTGCTCAAAATCAAATCTGTTCATGAGCTCAAAAAACTCTCATGTTCTTTCTTCCTGCTAAATAATGCCAGTTTCTATAACCTCAACTTGTATAATCTAATGAAGTTTCCTTCAGGGCCTGTGTTTTCCAGTCACAGTTTTTTATTTCTGAGTGTAGAGGCATTTATTAAGAATCACTTTCTCTATTCTAGATGTCTTTTGTCCACTTTCTTTTCATTTTTGAGATAGCACTCACTCACAGCTTTATATTCCAAAACAGCAAAGCTATTAATGACTCTGTCAGTTAGAAATTGACTCAGCCAAACCTTTTGTCTCCCTATGTTCTTTAAAAAACCAAAAAAGATGTACATAGTAACTTGTTCCTTCCCTAGAAGTGATGTTTTTTGCTTTTAAGATTCTATCTCCTCCTGGAAGGTTTTGTTTTTGCTATTGTTCTACAATGCACACTAAACAGATTAAACACACAGGGCCTATCCCAAGATTTAAAAAAATAACTGAATATAACTTAATTCAAAACATTTCAACAATGATGAATTATTTAAGTCAGAAAGCAAAACAAGTAAACACCATTGTTAGATCTGTGACAAATGGGAAATAAGCCAACAGATGGAATCACACTCCCTATGAAGCAGGACATGATGTGATCAGATTGTTTTTAGTGCTCACTCATTGGGCCTCATTTTCAAGGGTCAATTAAAATATATGCTTAGCATACTCCATAACTAGGGCTATAATTAGAAAATTACAATGTTACTGAACCAATAATTAGAAAATTGCAGTGTAACTGAAATTGTTACTAATATTCTATGGTTTTCTCATCAGTGTCTATTGCCTATCAACAATATAAGAGAGATAAGTGACATTTGAATTACTTGATGGAATGGGAAAAAAACTGGGATACAGTTAGTAATATGGTTAACTTCTCTGCATCTTTTGAGTGAAGGAACTAGGAGAAAGAAGGGAAAGATTTGCCTTAGAGATGAGGAAGAATTGTGAGGTTATAAATATTGGAATTGCTGTTAGGGAAAGAGTGGTCTTTTATCCAGGGCTATTTAAAAACAGGACAGATGCTCATCTCTCTCCCACAATTCAGATGTGAGCAGAGAGTGATTAAACTGCGTCTTCTAGCCGGATGCATCTATAGTTTAAACTAGAACACGTGTGAAAGTCTTGGGGGAACATGGCCACAGAGAAATGACATGTTGGAAATCAGCCATCCACCTGCTCTATTCTAGAAGCAGCTGTGTGAGTCTTTAACAAAAACACCTGTTTAAGAAATGATGGTGTAGAGTCTGATATTAGCCTTCTTCCTACGTAACTGTCTCTTATTTTTTTCATTCCCTGCACCATCTACTACTAACATCACATCTTTCTGTATTTTATATATTAGTCATTTTAAGCTCTTTGTGGAACAAGAAGGGACTTCATTGAGTAAAATAAATACTACTAAAGTTTTTAGCCCTTTTGTGTGTGTGTGTGTGCGCGCCAGATGTCATGGAAGTTCCAGGATATACAAAGAGCGGTAAACACTGGCCTCAGGGACTTCATAGCTTAGGGTACAACACAGGTCAACTAGTGATAATACAGTGAGAATCCTTTCAGGGAAAATGAGATTCCTATGGGATCACAGAATAGAAAGCCCCTCTCTCTTGGAAATGGGGAAGGATATAAGGAGAGGTTAAAGCAGAGCTGGTGCTGGAGCATAACCTCAAAGCAGACTATAAATCCTTCCTACAAGCATGAGTGAGGAGGATGTGGACAAAGCTGGGGTGAGGTGAGGGAGTGTAGTCTTCAAAGAGCAGCATTGAAGCTGTCCTTCTAATTCCAGGAAAATGCCATTAATTCCAATCTACTAAATTAATGAGAAACATCTTCCTTGACTAACGTTTCTTTCTGTGCTTTTGTTCCCACCATGTGGATGGTGTAAACCGGTGTAATTTGACAGTGTCAGGAGACTTGCCTGGTTTCCCGGGAATTCTAATAAAAAATACCACAGCAGAAGTCTTCAATGAAAGCAAAGCACTCTATAATCTACCTTGAGCCCTGACACGACATAGATAAAAATCTTTCAGCCTCAACATGAATGCAAAAAAATATTCCATTCAAGCAGTAACCTGACAAATGAACATAAGTTTTTTTGTTTTGTGTGTTTGTTTGTTTTACCCACGAAGCAAAAGGAAGACTTATCCAAAGGCTGGTAGCTAGGACGCCTTTCCGAACATGCTGGCCTGTTCACTGTTTGCAGTGTCAGTTTTGCAAGAGGAAACTTGGAAGGTCATAATTAGGAATGAGCTGAAGGTCTGCTGTTAAATGACTTTTAAGTGTGAGGCTCTGAGGACACATGTGGGGACGCTTGACCAGCACAAGAGGCTCACTCACTGCCCGGGACCTCCGTTTCAGTGGTGCTTTCTTACTAAAACAATACTAGTAGATTTTTATTTACTGAGCACTTACTATAGGAAGAGCTTGGTTTGCATTTATCTCATTACATTTTGACAGCAACCCATTCATAAATGAGTAAGCAGAGGACTTAGAGAGATAAGTAAGCAGTCCAGGGGTACACAGCTTGGAAACTGGAAGGTGATGCTCCAGAATTGCCCGTCGTTTGGTCTCACTCATACTTATACACTTGATTATGTCATTTAATTCCAAGTAGTCATTTTGTGTTTGGGGTTTTTTTTTTATTAGACTGTGATTACTTTACAATGTTGTGTTAGTTTCTGCTGAACAACAGAATGAATCAGCTGTATGTATACATATGTCCCCTTCTTCTTGGACCTCCCTCCCAGCCCCCCATCCCACCCTCTCGGTCATCACAGAGCCTCATACTGAGCTCCCTGTGTCAGACGGCCGCTTCTCACTATACTTCACACATGGCAGTGAATATGTCGGTGCTGCTCTCAGTTTGTTTAAATCTCCATGATAACACGGTAAGGTTCTGTTGGTGCACATAAAGTGCATGTGAACGGAAGAAAGGTTACACACCAGCAGCAGCCTTCCTTATTTTGGAGGCTTTACAAAGGTCTCTGAGCGAAGTTCCCTGAACAATGATAAGGTTCCTGTGGTCCTCTTGGAACTGTCTGGAAGAGCCAGGGTGCCTGTGAGGTGGGCTGTTCATGAGCCGTTCCTGAGCTCAAGGCTGTGCCTGTGTTCCTGAGAAGTGGACTGGTTTCCAGGCAACACTGTGGTCCATCTATTTTCATACTGTTGCAGTGGAAAGCATTAGAAAGAAAAAAAAAAAGACATATGGTACCAATAGTGTGATAAGATGCTTTCTGAAGCCTGGCTTCTCTGCCAATAGTAATTCCATGGTTACCACCAGTGGGGCTAGAAAAAGTCCCAACAAGAGACTCAGATGATGAATAAATAGGCCTGACATATGGCCATTAAGGCCCAATATTCCAAATACCAACACTGTGCTTAATCAGGTTAATAGACTTTTTACAAGTGCCCTGATCTTCCAAGATGGAAAAAGTATGGACCCAAATTATTGCTAAATAGACTTAAATCATCTCAAGAGTAGACTGGTGCCGAGTCTGGTTCTCCTGGCTGGTTAACAGAAACTCAATAACTCTCATTTGATGGATATGTATAATAAGTTACAGTCCTGGGATCTAAACTGCATGATGTAACATATTTTAAGACCTTAATCTTCTCTTCTTAAAAACAAAAGTGCTATTAGTTGTATAACAGCAGGTTCTTTTATAGGCAGGAACCCCCAAAATGTACATTTAAATCCCAATTGTAGTACACTTTGATGAAATAAAAATCACTGCTGCTTGTTTCAATAAAGAATCCCTCATTCCACTTCTACAGAATGCCCTTTCCCCCTGTTTTCAAAGCCATCTGTAGCAAAACAGTCATGTTATTTGTCTGTATCAGCTCAGCTAGTTTGAAGTGCTCCAAGTTGTAAACAATAAAAAAACACGCATTTTTTTTTCTCAGCAGATACAATATTTTCTATGGTATTAGCTCTAAGGGAGACACGGTCTTCTGAGGTTGGGTTTTAGTGAAAACTGCAGTCTTTGAAGATTACTAGGGTATCTGAGATCCTTAATAGGCATTTCAGGTGGTACAGTGACCTGCTGTAGAATGAGAGTTGAAAATGAAAGACAGTAACTGCCTCCTCCAGCAGGGACTGCCAATGATTCTGGGCTGTGTGTAGGGTCTCAAATGCTGCAGACATCACTAAAATGTGCCACGATAATAACCATCATTTACCATAAAGAAGGGTAAAATTGGGTCCAATTGAATTTATGCCAGAGAACTCAAGAGATGGCACTCTGGGGGCAGTCACACCACCAGGTCATTCTGTAGACATTCCTGGCCTTCTGATACCAAGCAGGCTGGAGGGAACTGAGGGAGGCAGAGACCCCAGCAGAGCAAGGAAAGGCATGGCCGCTTGGTGAGTGTGTATTTCATTCTTGCCTTCCCCACCTGAACTCAGAGCTACCACTCTGGCCCGGAGGAAAATGCTCTGTGTCTGTTTCAAATCTTCCTAAAAGGGCTTCTCTCTCCCTGCTGGCTGCCCCCAACCCATCCTCCCTTCCCTGTGAAGACGATGACTGACTGTGGAGCCAGCATCTCCCGCCCCTACTGACTGTCTGTTTGCCCCCACAGAATCTGTACCAGAACAGGTTCTTAGGCCTGGCCGCCATGGCATCTCCATCTAGAAACTCCCAGAATAGACGCCGGTGCAAGGAGCCGCTCCGCCACAGCTACAACCCAGGCCAGTACCACAGTGTGGCCGTCAGGACTGGCCCCCATGGTGCCGTCACCATCCCCCGCTCCACCAGCGACACCGACCTGGTCACCTCGGACAGCCGCTCCACACTTATGGTCAGCAGTTCCTACTACTCCATAGGGCACTCACAGGACCTGGTGATCCACTGGGACATCAAGGAGGAAGTGGACGCTGGGGACTGGATCGGCATGTACCTCATCGGTGAGTGGAACAGCACTTAGTGTGGAAATAAAGGTCGGAGCACGGTAGTTCAGGCGTTCAACAAGTATGTAATGCGTAATTCACTTTAAAGGATGCTTTACTGTTTCACTAAACGGGATCATTTCATTAAAGTGCACAATTCACAACCGAATATGTTATAGGCCCCCGTCTAACACACAGAAGACCACACACGTAGGCATCACTTCCCACTTCTATTCAGTGGCAGAGAATTGGGAGATAGCAGAGCAGGATGTAGCTGAACACAAATGTCATCACCATTGCAACTATACATTTGCTCTTCTACTTATAAGTGAGTGAATATGAAAAGCTCGATTTTAAAGTGAAAGTGTCATTCACTCAGTCATGTCAGACTCTTTGTGACCCCGTGGACTGTAGCCTGCCAGGCTCCTCTGTACATGGAATTCTCCAGGCAAGAATACTAGAGTGGAGAATGATTTCCTTCTCCAGGGGATCTTCCTGATGCAGGGATCGTACCCAGCTCTCTTGCATTGCAGGCAGATTCTTTACCATCTGAGCCACTAGGGAAGCCCTGTTTTTAAATCCATTTGTTTATAAGTCCAGAGCAATACAATATATGCAACCAAGGTATGCACATATATGTGTAGTAATTTCAGTTTAGTTTTCAACATTCAGTTTAGTTCAGTCACTCAGTCATGTCTGACTCTTTGTGACCCCATGGACTGTAGCACTCCAGGCTTCCCAGTCCATCACCAACTCCCGGAGCTTGCTCAAACTCATGTCCATCTAGGCAGTGATGCCATCCAACCATCTCATCCTCTGTCATCCCCTTCTCCTTCTGCCTTCAATTTTTCCCAGAATCAAGGTCTTTTCCAATGAGTCAGCTCTTCACATGAGGTGGCCAAAGTATTGGAGCTTCAGCTTCAGCATCAGTCCTTCCAATGAATATTCAGGGTTTATTTCCTTTAGGATTGACTGGTTGGATTTCCTTGCTGTCCAAGGGACTCTCAAGAGTCTTCTCCAACACCATAGTTCAAAGCATCAATTCTTCAGCACTCAGCTTTCTTTATGGTCCAACTCTCACATCCATACATGCCTATGGGAGGAACCATAGCTTTGACTATATGGACCTTTATTGGCAAAGTAATGTCTCTGCTTTTTAATGTGCTGTCTAGGTTAGACATAGCTTTTCTTCCAAGGAGCAAGTGTCTTTTAATTTCATGGCTGCAGTTACCATCTGCAGTGATTTTGGAGCCCAAGAAAATAAAGTCTGTCACTGTTTCCATTGTTTCCCCATCGATTTGACCAGAAGTGGTGGGACTGGATGTCATGATCTTTTTTTGTTTTGAGTGTTTCCACAGGGCTCTAGTGGGCTGCAGTAAAGGATTAACTTTTCCATTTAGACTAGCTTGCACCCTTCAGTTTTGCCGCATTCTTTCTGCCCATATCTACTTTAATTATAATGGTTACTTGTTTAACACCTTAGACAATTAGGTTGTTGGCCCCAGATCTGTTTTTTTTTTTTTTTAATTGTTCTTAAGTAACTGGTTTAGTCGCTAAGTCATGTTCGACCCTTGCAACCCCATGGACTAGGGCCTTCTAGGCTTCTCTGCCCATGGGATTTTCTAGGCAAGAATACTGGAGTGGGTTGCCATTTACCTCTCCAGGGGATCTTCCTGACCCAGGAATCAAAGCCAGGTCTCCTGCTTTGCAGGCAGATTCTTTACCGACTGCACTATGAGGGAAGCCCTCTTGAGTAACTAATTGTACTGATTGTAATTGTACAGTATTGAGAAGTATAGAACAAAATGCAATTATTGGAAGACAATTACTTTACAATATTGTGTTGGCCTCTGCCATACATGAAGACAAATCAGCCACAGCTATATATTTGTCCCATCCCTCCTGAACCCCCCTCCCAACTCCCACCCTATCCCACCCCTCTAGGTTGTCACAGAACAGTGGATTGAGCTCCCTGTTTATAAATTGATATAGTCACTATGGAGAACAGTATGGAGACTTCTTAAAAAACTAGGAATAGAACTACCATGCGTATGTGCATTCTAAGTCACTTCAGTTGTGTCCAACTCTTTGCAACCCTATGAACCGTAGCCCACCAGTGTCCTCTGTCTGTTCTCCAGGCATGAATACTGAGTGGGTTGCCATGCCCTCCTCCAGGAAATCTTCCTGACCCACGGATCAAACCTGCATCTCTTACACCTCCTGCATTGGCAGACAGGTTCTTTACCACTAGCACCATTCTGAGAAGCCCTAGAACTACTATATGACCCAACAATCCCACTGCTGAATATATACACTGAGAAAACAATAATTGAAAGAGACACATGTACCCCAGTGTTCACTACAACACTACTTAAAATAGCTCGGACATGGAGGCAACCTAGATATCCATCAGCAGATGACTGGATACAGAAATTGTGGTACATATATACAATGGAATATTACTCAGCTATAAAAAAGAACACATTTGGGTCCATCCTAATGAGGTGGATGAACTTAAATCTGGTTTTGAATCAGCTCTTCACAGCTGTACCTTCCTGTAGTGGTGTCAGTGGCATTTATTTCTCAAGTCAAGGAATAGTTGGAGTAGGAGCATGGCAGAGGAGAGGTGGAAACCTTCATCCATGGGAAGAGATGAAAGAATCTGGAGCTCAGACCTAGATCAAGGCTGAGGTGTAGATCTGGGGTAGTTGTCCCTGAGAGTGGAAGAATTCACTCATGGACTGTATGTAGAAATAAAGTGCCAGAAGGTCCCTATCAGAAAAGAGAGGGAGGCAGAGGAGGAAGTCAAAAAGAAGGTGGAGGTTCGATGGAGAGGTAGGACAAGAACTTGGCAACCACATCATAGAAGATGAGGGGGTGTTTGAGGAAGGAAGAGTCAGCAGTATCAAGTGTCCTGCAACTCCATGAATGAACAGAATCTGGTGTTAACATGACATTTCGACTGAGACAAAAGTAAACACAGTGCATCCTCTTGAGAATCTCAGTTTGACAGTTTGTTCTTCCCACAGTAGAACACATATATAACTGTGAAGTGATTTAATGCAAAATGCCAACACTTTCAGTGGCATAGCATTTCAAAAACAACTTCCATATCCAAAATTATCTGTGAATCTTAAAAGTTCATTATTTGTGAGTCCTTAGTAACTCATCTGCCAGATTCACGGTGCCTTGCCAAAGAGCAAATCATAGAGCCCAAGTGATTTCATCTAATCTGTCATTCCACAATTGAGGAAGTGCCAGGTTAGTGGTTCCCAAGGCCACACAGCTGCCTACCCTGGCAGCAGACCCAACGCTGACCATGGAGACATCTTGGGACATTTGTGGGCAACTTCACATATGGGCCATTCCACATCAGTGGGTAATCTAATTGTCCATGTGAGGCCAGGTTTGTGATGCTCTCAACTCTGACCTCCAGAGCTCTCCAGACAAACGTGACTTTTCCTCTGCCAAAGTAAGTGAGATATCTGGATTTGGAAGGGGACATGTGGCCCTGTTGACTGACGCCATCAGCAAGTCATTAATGCTGTCTTTAGCCAGGAAACCAGCCATAACACAATAATAGTAGCATTACTGTTACTTTCACCATGAATTCACATTTGGTTGCCCTCATTTATGGGGTGGTTCCTGATCTCAAGAGTGTGATGAAGGATTCTCTCCCCTATGACACAGAATGGGGAAAGATATGGGGTTTCAGTGTCAGCTTGATCTGCCCATGGAGAAAAAACATAACTTTCTTCTCAGGATCATTGAATGGAATTGATGAGATGCTGTGCACTTACTGCCTGTTGATCATTAAATTGCATCTTGATTTAACTTGTCAGGTAGCTCTAGTCTCTTGGATGCATCATGGTAAATTACTCTAATTCCCAGGATTCATTGAGCCTAACCATGGTTGTTAAACACGTGCTCAGTTGTTTCAGTTGTACATTATAGAATGTAAAAATGTCTTACTAAACCCAGAGGAACCTGGAAAGAGACTTTCATTGTCATTAAATGGGTAGAAGCTTATGATTTGGTCATAGAGGCAGATACAGTTTTCATCACGATTCCAGGAAATAGTTTCACAGTCATTCATTCAGTAATGACTTTGACAAGTGAAAGCTAATTGTTTGTGAGTCCTATACTTAGGGTTAAAGATTCAGCAATGCCTATGGCTTCTTCACACTGGGGAAGCAGTAGTGTATATTTGGATTAGGATACATCAACTGAAGGATACTATTAAAACCTCTAACCATTAGAATGCTAAGTTAATTAGAGTGGATCGATTCAAGCATCTTCCACCTCTTCATTTTACATTCCAATATGTTAAAAAGCTGAGTATCTTAAAACCCTCTTTAGCATGATCAATTTCTAAAAATAGCCATTCCTTTGACTCTGTTGGAAGGAACCCTTATTAAAACTGCTGAGATATGAAATAAGTATGCAATTACCATTATGAAAATATAATTGAATAGGTAAATTAGGCATAATATGCTTATAATTTGCAAAACTAACCTTCTTATTAACTTGGGGCTTCCTGGTGGCTAAGATGGTAAAGAATCTGCCTGCAATGCAGGCAACCTGGGTTCGATCCCTGAGTTGGGAAGATCCCCTGGAGAAGGGAATGACTCTCCACTCCAGTATTCTCGCCTGGAGAATTTCGTAGACAGAGGAGCCTGGTAGGCTACAGTCCATGGGGTTGCAAAGAGTTGGACACGACTGAGCAATCTTATTAACTTAGCATTTTAATAAATCATATCATTTTTATATCATGTTATATACCATGCTAGCCTTATACCATGCTAGAATCTGCTCAATACTTGAAGTCATGATGAAACTAAAGTATATTCATGCATTTACATTTCAACAAATTAAGAGATGATAACTCAGATTGAAGGCAGGAGAAGGGGACAACAGAAGATGAGATGGTTGGATGGCATCACCAACTTGATGGACATGAGTTTGAGCAAGCTCCAGGAGTTGGTGATGGACAGGAAAGCCTGGCGTGCTGCAGTCTA